TTGCCTTATTATTAATTCTGTTCTGTTCTCATCTATAACATTGAAGAATATTATGTCACATAATGGCAGTGAGAATTTTTACAATTAGTACTCTGAAGTTGAAATGTCTAATAATTATTAGAGATCTAATTTAGATTACTAAATAATAATGTCTAATTTAGATTATTAGATTTATCATCCAAAGTATTCCATGTGGGAGTATTAGAGTCTAGTTTGGCGAATAACTTTTAAAAACTTGAATTAAATTCAATAGGTAATCCAAAGGTAAAAATAGACGCTAAAATCAAGTCATTTTACTTTAAGGCATGTTAGCTTTGGAAACCCCACTTTAGAGATTCCATTTTTTCCCACAATCTATTGTCTGTATATCTGATTCAAAGTCATGACATCTATTGTCTTGCTTGGAAATGATTCATGGGAAGACCATAGGAGTTGCCTATTTGAGCTCTGTGCTCCCCACTGGCTCCCTGCAGAGAAAGCTGGATGCCCAGGAAGCAGCTCTGAGGTTCCCAGGACAAGAGGATGCACACCACAGGGTGCCCATGCTGACCTCAGGCTCAGAGAGGGACCCACCTGGCTCCCCCCTCTCTCCAGTCGAGGATGTGAAACACCATGGAACAGACATTAATGAACAGACATTATTAAATGGCACCTCTCTGTGACCACTGTTTGGGGCAAGATTTAACCAGAGCTACATTCCTTCTGTGGTGTGAGCTGTAACTATGGGGGTTTCACTGAGCTGGCTTGGGTTCAAGATGAAACTTAGCTCACCAAAAGAAATCTATATTTAACATCCACCATGGAATAATCATGTAGTAATTTCAAGGTAACTAGTTGTCATCACCATATAATTTTTTAACACTTTCCAAGTCAACACATTATAACTGACAGAATCCAAATATAAAACCCTTAGCTTCAAAAACATTATGTTTACTGACCTGATTATAATATATAGGAATCATTGTGTTCCATTTTTAAAAATGGTATTATTATTAAGAAACACCCCCTTTGGTTTTCATCTCCCATCTGCTGTTTACATGAATTGTCTGGAATGCATCTGTAACACTGCATGTAAAACACAAATTCCATGTGGTCGGCCTATTTCTTCTTCTCCTTTTGGCTCTTGGCCTCCTGGGGCAAAGCAGGATACCAGGTGGCCGCCTGCAGGAGCCAGGGCCTCAGATGAGTGCCACGAAGCGGCTCAGGCACAGCGGTGTGTGCCTTGCATGCCCCCAGGTCCCCTGGAGCTCTCCGTGGGGAGCTGCAGGCCTGCGCTGCGTCTTGGTTTTCTCTTGATTTTCCTTAGCTTCATGGCTTTCTATAAAAAGCTTAATTTAGAAAAACAAGTATCTCCCAAAACCAGATTTGGACTTCAGTTCAAAATGCACTGAGAACTGTACGGTGGAGGGTAAGGCTTTCCCTGTCCGGGTTCATGGGCGCCAGTGTTGCCCCTTGCTCTGCAGGTCGGGGTGTGTGGGGTGAGCTCTGTGGACCCTGCTGACCCACCAGAAAGTGCCCAACAGCTGCCGTGTTGTCGTGATGAGTGACTTTGGAAGTGGCTAATTCCTGTATTTTAAATGGGGAGGAATTTTAGAAGGCTGCATAGGATTCATACAAATCCTTCTACAGAGAAAGGGTCAGAAGTCTGCCCTCGGTGACATGGCTTGGAAACCGCACCTGGTGCTCAGCGCACCCTGCCCCAACTCTCCGTGGCTCGGTCTTAGAATTCCTACCAGGCCTGTGATCTGCAGTCTGCCGCACTTGATTTGACTTGCATGAGTGTATGGTGGCCCCCGTTGGTTCACTTCCCTTTTTCTTCAACTAACTAATGCCTCCGCATTCAGCGTCTCCCCCACTTGGGCCGCTGCTCTTTAGTATTGAGCCACACTTCTGCCCTCAGGAGCTGCATTGTGAGGTTTTGATGGCGGCACCTCTTCTCTCTGAGAGCCTCTGACAAGGAGTAGGTTGCTGTGCCCTTCACTGAGACCCTGTTGCTTTAGGAAATAGGGCTTCGGGGAGGGCCCAGTTTCTGGGAGGCCCCGCCCCCTTTTTGCCACAATATACTCAAAAGGTAAAAACTTTTTTTTTTGAGCTTTAGGGACAGTGGGTTTTGTCAGGGTTTGATATGAGCGTGTCAGATATGCTTGTTTGAACTCAACCCCCCTGCTCCCCTGCGCTGTCATGTTGATTGGACGTCCCATGGGTCACCGCCTCCTGTCACTGGCTGGGACACAGCCCTTGACAAAGCTGGACTGCATACACTGGATTAAAACTTCTGTGTCAAGAAAGTGTAGCTTGTTTGCAAAATGAGTTAAGAGCCAATTAAATATTTATGTGATTTGTGCCTTCTGAAAAATATGGCCTAAGATGCCCAGGTCCGGGAAGCCGCACCAGCGCCGTGGGCCCCTGACCTGCCTCTAGCTCAGCAAGAGCTGCCCTGGGCCCTGGTGAGCGGCAGGAGAGTCCAGAGCAGGCGCCTTCCTGGGCAGGCAGGGCGCCTCCGGGGGTCTTCACTGCAGCAGGAGCGCATCCTCAGGAAGGAGGGGTCCTGGTAGGTTCTGAACTAAGGGCTTGTCAAGCCGGACAGCTGGCCAGGCTGTGATGGGCTCCAGAGCTGCGCAGGCGCACAGCTGGGGAAGGAGGCTGACCTAGAACAGGGCTGCTCCGGCCTGGGAAGGGGCTGCCCTCTAGGCCCGGGAAGCCCTCCGGGCAGTTGATAGAAGGTTAAAGTGGGCCGACCTGGCCGCGGAACTTTGCAGAGTAGAGCAGGCCTGGGCTTCCTCTAGTTACTTAGGAATGCAGGTGCCCACACTCGCTCACTCCCACGCGGTGTCCCTCGGTGCCAGCAGGGTGGGAACCCCAGGCAGGACATGGGCCCTGGTTTTTGTAACGGTGGAGATGTCCTGCAAAGGTGGAGGAGTAAGCATAAAGACAAAGCGGCGTCAGAAGGAGAGCAGTTTGATCCCGTGGAATTTCCTGCACCTGCTGCCAGGCACGGGCCCTGTGCTTTAACCACAGGACGCGTCAGAATCACTGAGTGGCCTGTGGAGAGGGCAGTTAAAAAACGAAAATCCTCTTCCACAAACGCTCAGATGCAGCCCTTCACTGGGAAGGGGTCGGCAGGAGGGGAAGCGCCTGGGGACACCCAGCTTCCCCCAACCCCTCCCCAGGTTAGAGTTGGAAATGTCTCTCCGGAGAGCTGTGGCATGGCCTAGAAGGCACAGAGAGGCCTCTCTGAGAGGTGAGCACCCCTGGTCAGAAGTTCCAGAAAGTTCTTCAGCAGTGCACACGTGATGTTTTGAGTCTGTGATTGTTATCAGATGTACTCATTTTGAATTCTGCTTTGTAGGAAGGTTTTGTCTTAGATGATTCCTGTTCACCACTTTTTTTTGTTTTTTTAATGGATGAATGAGGGCTGGGATTGTGGCTCAGCGGTAGAGCCCTCGCCTAGCACGGGTGGGACCCCGGTTTGATCCTCAGCCCCACATAAAAATAAATAAATAAACAAACAAATAAATAAAGGCTTTGTGTTGTGTCCATCTACACCTAAAAAATAAATATATTTTTTTTTAAAAAAAAATGGATGAATGAATGTTATATGTTCTTGCTATAGGTGCCACATTAAGGGGGGGGAGCCCTCTCTTTGGGGTTGTACATTCCCCAGAGAGTCACAAGCCACCATGTGCAACTTGCATTTTTCCTACCATAAAAGTATTGGTTTCTAAATACAAAGCTATAATATAATTATATTACATGGCTGCTTCATAGCCACTCTGATGTACTCTTCAGAAAATGAATACTTCATTAGCATAAATCATACACGGTTACTTCAGTGTGGATTAGAAATTTGGGGTGCCTGTACCCCTTGCTTTATCTCTGTGGGTGCATCCTGACCCATCAACATCGTGGCTGGTGGGCTTCTCTGGTTAAATAAAACCTTGCATTGGAAGGATTCCGAGGCAATGCTTTTTTCCCAGGCTTTAATATCTTAATGAGCCCACAGGCCTGGCTGCTTATAAGTGCCCAGGACTTCTGAGTGTGTTGTTAGTGTTAGTACTTGAACCAGGATGTTCATTAGGAAGCTCTTGTTTCAGTATCTCAGAGAAACTCCCCATTAGGAAAGATCTTTCAGCAGCATGACTAGCGAGGGAAGGAAGGAGGGAGACTTTTAGGTGTGTGCAACCAGGGATATTGTATCAGTAGCCTTAGCTCTAAAGGTTTGCCCCTAAGAATTAATTGGAGCAAATACATCTCAGGGGAGGGGAGAAGCTATGTAGAGCAAGGACTGAAGTTGTTATCCTTGCAAGTAAGGACTCTTCATTTTGCAGGTGAATCAATAGTACGGCTAATTATTTCTGGTTATCTTTTATGGGTTTGTAAGACATTTCTTTTGTTCAGTGTAATAAAAAACCCATTGTTTGATCTGACTAATTATGATAAGTAATTTGAAACATTCCTGATGAAACTTGTCTGTTAATTAACATCCACAGCAAATGGAAACCAACAGGACAACAAAGTCTTAGTGTGCCCACTGTTCCCTGGAATGGATGAGATCTCTGTGGCATGCCCAATAAACCCAAATTGCCAATGGTTAAAAAATAACAAACAGGTGGGAAGGCCTGACTCACCCTGGAGGAAAAGTTATTGTAAAGCTACACAAAGGAGTACTGAAATATTCTGAGGGAGGAGGTGGCCACGAAATGTCAGCAGGCTGCCTGACCCTGCGGCTTAGAAGGAGTCTGCTTTCTTGTTTGGTTTTTGAAGCTTAGTTCCTAAATACATTTGTCCCACATGCATGGAGACCTGGTCCCAGCCCCAGCCCTGCAAACAAAACAAAAAGTCTCAATGATGATCTGATGAACAAAGAGACTTTCAGTAAGTAGAAGTGTGGATCCAAGAAGTTGCAATTTGGGATTATTGGCAGTGTCTGGCTTGATGTTAACATATCATTAATACTGTTTAAGTTTTATCAACTCAGTGGCTTTTCTTTTATATTTTAGATTTCTACCTGGACAAGGACTGGTACTATACCCACAGATAGGAGACAAATTGGATATTATTTGCCCCAAAGTGGACTCTAAAACTGTTGGCCAGTATGAATATTATAAAGTTTATATGGTTGATAAAGACCAAGCAGACAGATGCACTATTAAGAAGGAAAATACCCCTCTGCTCAACTGTGCCAGACCAGACCAAGACGTGAAATTTACTATCAAGTTTCAAGAATTCAGCCCTAATCTCTGGGGTCTAGAATTTCAGAAGAACAAAGATTACTACATTATATGTAAGTATAATTGTGTTCCCTTATTTTGTAGAAATTAGGATAAGCTAAATAGGTTTGTATCAATTTTTGTTTCCTTAAAATTATTGTGGCAAATAGTTGGGTGAGAATCTTTGCTGAAGAGTTGTCCACTTTTTCAAGGAAATTTTAATTGAATTTGGGACCCTGTAGTAACAGTATTAATTAAATATAAATACCCAAAGGGGGAAAAACATCTTGGGATTCCTACAGTATTGACATAAATGAATTAAATGAATATACTCAGCAGCTCTACTGACAAAACCATTTTTAAGGACCACTAATGAGATTTTGATGGGTAAATCTATGCGATGCCTTTTCTCTCCATCCATCCATCCATCCACCCATCCATTCGTCCCTTCATCCATCCATTCAGTGTTTGTTCTGGTGACAGTGCTTCAGTGTTAGGGATTCAGCATTGGACATGGTGGCATAATGATACACTTCCTGCATGAAGGTGTCAGCCTGGAGAAGATGGATCTCATAGGTTGGAAGGTTTAGGGTTGCAAGACTAAGCACCATTATACATGGACTTCTTAAAACCAGATTTTGAAGGGTAAAGCAAAACCTAGTTTTCTCACTGAATTACTTCCCTTCCCCATAAATATAACAGTAGCTTGACACATTGTTTCAGGAATAGATGGTACAGAGTTCTTGGATTATATCTGATGGAAACTCATGAGGCTGTGAGTTCCAAAGCCACGAGGACACCCTGAACATGTGCCTACTGTGCGCACCCTGAGCTATCACCAAGCCCAGATTGCTCCCAGGGCCCTGGATTCTGTCAGAGGGGAGTCTGGGAGGCTCAGACAGCTGTGTGCATGATTCAAACAATGAAATATTTTTCCCTAAATTTTCAGTTTAAAATTATACTCTTAACTGAGTGGAATTCTCCATTTGTTTCCGTAGACTTTAGCTCATTAGGGAACTGCCTCTGCTGGCTGGGCTCCCCTACTGCTTGGTGATCAGATTAAAGGTCTGGCTTTCTCCATCTACAAGCTGCTTCTTTAGAGCTCAGAACCAATAATTCACTGAATATTTATCCAGTGCTCCATAAAATGTGTGTTTTACTACATTAGGAATTTTAAAAAAGGTGGTCATGGATGCCTAATTATCTTGTCTGTTGCTTCGAAATGCTACAAAGACTAAAAACCTGTTTTTGAAGCCAACTTGATACATAGAGAGCAGCTTTCCAAGAATAAGTAACAAAGAAAAGGAGAAAGTGGTAAATTATGTATTTAATGGAATAATTATCATAAAATGAAAATAAAAGCATTCCAAGATGAAACAAAGCAGATGGGGTGGTAAAGTGTACAAAATAATAGGGAAATCTTTGACAATACACAATAGTTACAAGGTAAAATAGATGAAAACCAAACTTTCGGAAGCTGAACAGTGTTTTTTTTTTTTTTTAAGACCATGTAAAGACTTTTTCAGTGGATCCTAATGCCTAGCATAACATTGATAGTGAAAATGACCTGCAGTGAATTCAGGAAGAGGTTTCTGCCCCTGTGGGGTAGAGAGGGGAAGTGGCAGCCTCTGATCAGTGGGTGCACTAGATTGATGTTCCGTGGTGGTGAAGGCCTGTCCCTACGCCTGAGGCTGCCTGTTGACCCAGCCATGGAGGATAGCCAACAGACCCTCACCCATTCTCCCTCTTATTTTAGTTCATGGATTCATAAAGATGGCTTTGTGAATTCTAAGATCCCACTGAGTGCAAGTGGGATTTCAGTAAACATTAAAGGCTTAACCTTTAGTCTGAAATACTACACAAGAAATGCAAATAAATAAATGGTTTACCAACATCTCTTTGCTTAATGTAGTGCATTTAATAACTAGCTTTTATCAATGCATGAGAGATTTGTATTTAGAAGCATAGTTTAATTTATAATTATAATAATCTACACAATAATGGCATCCCTTATTTTTCTTTTTTTGGAAACTCATTATGCCACATTAGCAGGTTCATTGCAGGTAGCTGAGCTACTCTGGCCTCCAAAACTCTGCTTAGAATTGTGATTTACAGTGCAGAAGCATGGGGTGGACTGAGATAAAAGAATCTTAAACAGAATTGAGGGTTGCAGATTTGCAAAAAGGAGGAGATGTTTGAATGCTGGCTGTTGAGAGACTGCCCCAGGGCTGGTAAGTGCCCAGGCTCAGAAATTGGCCTGGAAGTCCAGTGACACCTTAGCAGAGTTGAAAGGTTTCTACTACATTGCAGGCAGAGGAGGGCATTTCAGATGCTTAGGAAAAAGCAGAAGCCAGTTTCTTACCCTCCCTATAGCAAAGCTCATCAATACACAAATCTCTCTTGAAAGGAAATGGGAAATTAAAAAAAAAAAAAAAAAAAAATGTTAAAATAGTCTTAAAAAATAATGTTGACTTTGAATTGTTTTTTTCAAGACTTCCAAGGCACCAAAATTAAGGGATTTGTAAAAGTTACTAATTTCGATATCAAACAAATGCCCGCCCATGTGTGTGCACACACAGGGTCACAGACTCTACAGAAGAAGGAAAGTAAATGTTTGAAGATATTGATTTTTATAATGGTACACTCATAAAGTAGTGCTGGTAGCATGATGGAAAATATCCAGATTTACAAGTGTATTTTTAACTCCTGAAAGCACTGGTTCTCTTTGAGACAGTAATTTTGGTATTTGAATTGCTAGGAAATACAATACTCTGTTTAACTCCAGACCTTTGTGTCTGGTTGGTGGCATCTTCATCACTGGGGGTGGGATGGACCCCCCGGGGACAGTCCACATGGACTACACTGGGGTCTGGTGATTCCACAGGGGAACAGAGATTTGGAATAATTGGACCAGGAGCCCGGAGTCCTGCATCCTAGTTCTGCTGCCTGAGCATAATGAGAAAGTCACTTTATTTCTATGAACTTTAATTTCCTTCTCTAGAAAATACATTTATTATTGGTGTCATTGTTCAGATGAACAATAGCAGTCTCCTCTAGGTCCAGGCTGTTTATGGCTGGACAGGATCCTAAACCTAACCTTGTTAAGGTGGCTCTTCTCTGCTGACATGGGCAGGATCTTCTCTGAATTCTTTAAAGACTCTTCATTCAATTTGTAGAATTACCCAATTTAAAATAGTCATCACACTTTGAGTTTTAAAAATAAATGTTAATGTTTAATGATAACTATGAAAATTTTAATCCTACCAAATATCCACTAAATTCTCTTAAGAAATGACATAATAAAATGATATGTATCCTCATTAATACTTCTCATAGATGATTATTTGCTTTGACATGTGGCAAAATGATATATATGGATTTTCTTCATGTTTACAATTGACTTTTTCAAGTGACCTGTTTCATTAATTAGCCTTGGGCTTAATTTGCATAATAAAAATCTAATTATTAAATGATTCAAAGATGGTCTGATAAGCCCCTGTTCTCCACTCCAGTTATTTTTATCATGTCTTTAAAATTGTGTAAATGTTTGTGAAATAACTATATGTTCTTGCTGATTCCCATTTTCAAGGGAAGCTCTGTGTTGGACATAAGGAAACATTCCAACTAATATTAAAAGTATTCCTGCCTCCCTGTCCTTCATCCGCACAGTGTCCCTTAGGCCCTCTCTGCTTGGTTCACCATCTTTTTAAAGGTGATGATCCCAAGCTGTGTGGAGCGGCCATTGGGTGTGTGGGCCTGGTTGCTTATGACCTTAGCATAAAACCTTCAAGATACTCACAGAGATTTCCATCACACTACCAGAACTGTGTGAATCAGAGATGGGCGAGAAACGGATGCCTTTGTGATCGTGCATTTTAAGTGAACAGTGACCACAACAGAGCGGTGGATAAAATAATATTCATAGAGTGCCTCCCCATTTAGTTTAATGTGGCTTTTGCATTATTTGACTATAAACCTGTAGCCAGGACGTGGTCTTGTGGCATAGCCTGTAGGTCATCATTTCTAAAGGCTGTTTGGTTAATAGTTGTTCTATTACATGTACACACATGCTCAGCCTGAGGTGTTCACAGTGGTCTTTCTGGGAGTCAGCCCTCACTTTCCAGCCTTCCTTGATAAACACGGAAGGATTCTGGAGGAACTACCATTTCTTAGGCCCCTCATTGGTTTGGTTGTCCATATTTTTTTTTTTTTTTGTATAAGAGCATGCAAAATTGGAAGGCTCCACAGGTACCTTTTGCAGTTTTTTTGGACATGTATTCCACTTTTGAGCAAAATCACAAAATCAAGTAAATGCTTACACAAATAGAATGAAACAACACTTGTAAAAACCCAAGCAGAACAGTAGATCCTACTCCTTATTTTGATTGAGCATATGTATGTATGTTTGTTTTCTTCTGCTGTTTTTTCATTTATGGATCTAGGTTTGGGGAATAGGAATGATAGGGGACACTAACATATACTAAATGTGCTGTCATCTCTTTCCTAGCAAAATAAGTTACGGGAGCTTTCAAATGTCTTTTGGTATTTAGATATCTTTTGAAATATATAAGAATACGTGACTTCTATAAAGTGATAATGCACTTTATTTGGTGGATTATTTACATATAAATGTGGCAAAAGCAACACTTCCATCATAACATAGATCAGGCTAAGTGATACAGCAAAATCATCCTGTCCGTTACATCCTGACTTAGGGTTGGAGATTCATGTTTGCTAACTTGCACATAATTACTAAGTGTAAGCATATAAACCCATTTCTGTTCTTCCCTACAACAGTTCTTTTTGTAATGTAATTGTCAAAATCTTGCCAGATACTGTAGAGTATGGTGCTTAGAAGATAAACATACATACCACTAACATAGATTAGCCGAGGAGCTCTGAAGGTCTGGGGTCTGGCAGTCCTGGGCTCTTGAGTGCCCTTCTTCAAGTAATCTAACCTGTTATTCTGCCTTGATCTCTCCATCTGCGAATGGGGATGATGGTAGCACCTGCTCAGAGGGTAATGTGGGTTGTGTCAGGTAGATGTCAGGAGCCTGCTTCCAAGCTTGGCACA